GAAGACTTAATTTCTTGAATGTAATGGAGTTTTGAAGGAGATATGCATTAGTCGGTTAGTTGTTAAGTATGCATAAACACGAAGAGATCGATGAACTCGATAAACATTACAAGTATGAGTCCATTGGCTGTCGTTAACATGTCATTTGGCAAGGCACATGCATAATAAATGGTGAGATCACATTCAACGCCAACTATTACGGGCTTGAGCTGCTCGAGAGAAAAACTCATTTTTCACAGGATTTCTTTTTTTTATATTAACGGTTGAAATCCACCATTTAGTGCGCCCTAAAATCTCTTGATTTCTTTATGATAGGCTCTGATTGAGCTCGTAAAATGCAATAAACATTGGCGATGTGACACGATAACATCTATGTTATCACAATCTTAAGCTGCAGAGAGAAAACGACTTATTATGGCAATTTCACCTCGGACACGTGTTTACATTTTGAACACGACAAACCTCAATACACTTCTTGAGCACATAGTATGTATGCTGGAATATTGAACATTGAACAGCAGAAAAAGAGAAATCAACGAACATTGAACACTTGCTTGCATGGCAAATATTGAAAATAAAACCAACTCTCAAACTGGTGCCATTAACTTTCTATCGCTTTGGCTGTGGCTGTGGTTGTGGCCTTATAACTCGTTTAAATGCACGTTACGAAAGTTACACCATCGCGAATGGATTGCATCCGACATGCCATATGATAAATACATATATTGCATTACGCTCGCGCGCTCAGGAAATTATATTCCAACAAAAGAGCCATTTAGAAAACAGCACAATCAGATGCAGCGTACGAAAAAAAGATTTGTGATTTTATCCAGCACAAAGCGAATGTCACCTTTTTGTTGGATATAATGAGGAAAAGTTTTGCGGTAATATATTTTATTAGAATCATAAAAATACCATCTGAATCGTTTGAACATTTCAAACTGGTTCCGTTTCGAGAGACACTCGGCCAAAATGAATATTCAACGTAGAAAAATCCCGATAAGAACTGATAGAAATGGGTAATTTGTCATAATTCGTCTGTTTTTGCTGAGAATATTGATGATTTATGCTCACTCACGACATGCAGATATATTTAGTAACGGTTTTTGTTGTCTCTTGTTTTTGTAAAATTCGTTTGATGTATGTCAACAAAGTGTCATCTTACCGAGTCTGGGTAAAGTGGCAAGCGAGCGAGCGTGCGCGTGTGCTTATGAAGAGCAAATAGCACGACAAAACCATGGAATACATTCCATAACGTTCTATTTCACTGACTTGGTAAACTTTCAAATTTCGAAAGAAAACGATATGCAAACACCTCTTACTGGTGTAGGGCTTCGTTTTATGCATGTTTAAACGAAGACATTGTCGCATAAATATGTTTTTTTTTCCTTATCGCCATGATCGGGAAGTTATCACGCTGGCAAATCATTTAAAATTTTAATTATAATTAACGCCTCGTGAAAGCAAGTCTATATTGAATTTCCGTTATTCATTCCAAGTACTAGCGTTCATTGCAAGCGCATAAATCGTAATTAATATTCGTCGTTTTCTATAAAATATTCAGTAAAACAGTAAAGAAAAAACACTGTGATGTGTTCGCTGCGTTGAGCAATGACGCTGTTGATGGGCGTATTGTATATTGAATAAATGAATTCACTTATTTTACGAAAGTTGATAGCTTATAAATGTGGGTTAGACGCATTTTTCGGTAGTATTTGTGTTTAACCGAAAATCAGTCATCAAATCCGAAAATGGTGATAATTTGACGACACATAAAATGTATCATAAAAATATGATTTAAAAGGCAAAATAATTATGTCTTCGGTGTTTTTTCGTTCGGTTAATTTATTCTGTATGAGAATTGTTTATTATTCCTCAACCTTTTGAGTGTTCCGTTATAAAAGCTATGCTATGGCTTTGATTGCCATTCTAAATTCAGTTATGAATTTTCTGAATGAAATCCATTGAAGAGACTTGAAGTTGAAAAACGTTTGGCTGTCACTCTTCCACATGTAGTAGAAACGAAATTTTGTATGTTTTTCCTCACTCCATGTAGAAATGTTATCATTATGGTGTGTGGGTGCATAGCACAAAATGAACACTCCATTGTATGATCTATTCAGTTTTGACGCACAAACCAGACCAAATATGATACATTTCAATTAAATGTAAATTGGCTTGGAGTTGAAACGCATGCACCCAGCAATATCAACAAAACATAATTTCGCTGCTGTCAACAGACTGTTTTATGTATCAAAACAAATAAAGTATTGTCTGATCCATTAGCACTCCACTCTCAATAAGATCAGAAAAATGTGATAAGTAATAAAGAAGATTGCGCTAAGGCGATGTTAGCAAAGAATGTTGAATCGAAATATGTTGCAATTCTTCATCTCATCCGACAATTCAAATGTGTAACACACGCACAAAGATGAATCCAATTCATTGAATTTCCATGCATATGGAAATATATAGTATGTTAATGCTCAATTTCATCCCACAAAAGTGTCAATTGAATTGTGTAAGTAGAGTCATGAAAACGACATTTACGGCTGATGTGAAAATTGAGAGAAAAAAAATAATCACCTCACAAAACTGATTATTTAACAGCGCAAAATTGTTGAAATTGATACGCACCATCAACCGAAACGCACGTATTCGCTAATGTTCATTTGCGGATGCCCAAAAATTCCTCTCATTTTCTTTCTCTCTCTCTCTCTCTCTCTCTCTCTCTCTCTCCCCCTCGTATAAGTGTATATTTTTCAGCGTTTTATTTCACATTTTTCTTCATCATCGGAGATGAGTGTGTTCCAGTGTTGTTTTTTCCCTTCTCTCTTCGTCTTTCGTCATTTTCATGTTTTGTCTGTTTGGCAATATTCTTGTTCTTTTCGATGCAGCTACACATTTTATCACACATTCCCTGTCGTGCGACGATTTGAGATGTGTACGTGTGTATATGCGTGCTTGTATATATCACCACAAAGCAAAGCAGATGAGACGAACCGTTCTGAGACGTTTTCATATATAGACGTGTCATCTCACGTGCATATGTGTTATTTTGTGTTCGCACTGAAGCTATTCTACGATCTTGGATCGCTTCACAAGCATTCAGTATGTTAACGCTATCGGCGCGGTAACAATTTATGTAGCGCAGTGCGTGATATTTCAATCGCAAATTCTAAAAAAAAACGAAGGAAGAAAAATGAACGTTATCAACATCATTTCACTTTCGCACAAGTACTTATCGGTGGAATTGTGTTTCTTTAAATAGAAAATCGGTGCAATGAAAGTGAATTAATATTGAAAGGATTCCGGCATTCAAAAACATGTCCGTGCCTGTTTTGCTTGATGAAACTATAAATGCTAATGGTGCAATCCATTTATGCGGTTAAACAAGTTTTTTTGAGTCAATAAAATAAACAAAGTAATAATTTTTTCGGATCTTTTTGAGCGCGTGTCTTTTCAATTCAAATAATAAAACTACGTTTTTTTCGGGGCCACAACTGTTTTATGGATTACTTAAACATTTGAATGTCGTGTCTTACCTTAGAATCTATGGCCCGTATAGAATTTCGTTGAATTCTTAAACGCACACATTGAACATAAATAAGAAGGAAAAAATCTGTGATTTATTATGTCAAAACAACTGTTTCTTGTTTAAGAAATATCATCGGTTGATATTCTCCTTCAGTGAATAAAGTGATTAAAGACACAAAAAGACTGAGAGAGATAGTACGAAAGACATTTAAGTTCACAACCTAGAAGCATCATAATTCGTAATCATAAAGTGTTCAAAAACTGGAATCTAACAAATGATTATCGCAATTAAGTTTAGATCAAAGTAGCTAATTTGCTGTACAAAAAAATGGATGCGACTCCTGAATCGCTTTGAAAAAAATATTTGTTCTTATGTGTTGATAGAACTCATTAGCTGACTGAAAATGCGAATTTATAAGTCAATACCCAATAATTTATTGGTAAGAGGCTAATAAGTGGGTGCTTTTGTTAAATAAATATCAAATATTTTGTTGCCAGCTTCGAAACCTCCTAAATATAAAATCTCTTCACTCTTTAATCCAAATGGCATTTGAACTTGAACAATTTGTCTAGATCGAGAGAAGAAAAAACAAATGTTTCCGGAATGACAAAAACATTTTATGCCACTTAGTCTAAACTGATTTTATGACAGAAAAAGTATCATTTTTAAAATATATAATGAGCTCATAGATCGGTTTGCACACACTCAACCAGAAACCGGCTTCGAATCCGATTTCTATTACAAAAACATCGAATAATGGAATTATACGCGGTGTGTTTTTCAATTTGGTCAATAACAAGCGTTGAATCAGTTCTGGGATAATTGAGGGAAAATGATTTTTTTCAATGAATCAATAAATTTATAAACAATCGCTTATTTTAATCAAACCGTTATGTGGATTGATTTTCAGTGAAATTCGAGAAGTGAAATTAAAACACTTAATCAAAAGCGGATTTTCTCTTGTGTTAAGCCAGTGACGATTCGAAATATTTGGTATTTTCCGTGACATTTCCCAAAAATATTATCACAAAACATTTTTGTGTGTAACATGTTGAAAATATTCATTTTCTGCCTATTATTCTACCAGTTATTTCCATTCCAATGGCTTAACTCTTCGCTTCTTTTCTGAATCGAAACAACGATTATCTACCATTTAAAGGCGTGTGATTAAATTTGAACGACAGGTCAGGGCGAGAGACGTTACATATTATCCATAAGAATAAAAAACATAAATTGAAGAGAGAGAAAAAAATGATTGGGATCAAAACCGGTTAGGAAATGGTTTTGATGTTTGTTACAAATAAATTGTAACAATTTTATTGAAATCAAAGAGAAAATTTATTAAAAAACGATCTAAAACTGAATACAACTTTGTTTCAAGCTGCGCCAGAGAGAAAAAATGTCCAATTGAATATATTTCATCATAATCAAATTCACAACTGTTTTATTTGTCTTCTTTCAGGGTGATCGAACATCTTGGGAATATCACACTGTGTCTGTGACTCGTGTAACCGGCTATGGATTTGGTATGTAGCCAAAAGAAAACGGCCGCACATAAATAGGCAAATTTTCTATAATTAGGTTTATCATTTCATTTCAAATATTTGATTTAGGCATTGCTGTATCTGGTGGACGTGATAATGTTAATTTTTTAACCGGCGATCCAGCCATAGCCGTTAGCGATGTTCTGAAAGGTGGACCAGCTGAAGAAAAATTGCTGTGAGTTTTACATTTTATCATCTTCTTTAAATCTTTTTAGTCCTAAATTCTTGTTTCGATTTAAAACAGAAAAAAAATGTCCATTAATTAATTGCATCATTAATAAGTCATTAATCAATGAATGATCATGCATTTTCGTGTTCACAGAGAAAACGATCGTATCATATCAGTGAATGGAGTGTCTTTGGAGAATGTTGACTATGCAACGGCTGTACAGGTGCTGCGTGACAGCGGCAATACCGTAACATTGGTCATAAAACGTCGAGTGACGAATTTGGGTTTGCTAACGAATGCGACGACCGGACCGTCGTTAAATAGCAGCACAACACATAATCACCAACACTCAAACAGTTTGGTGAGTTCAACTGGTCTCAGCGGCAATATTGGCAATAATAGTTCGAGTCAAGCCATCAAATTGGTGTTGACCAAACCAAATAAAAAGGAAGATTTTGGCATTGTGCTGGGATGTCGACTGTTTGTTAAGGAAATTTCGACAAAAGCCCGTGATCAACTTGTCGCCAATGGATACACATTGCAAGAAGGTGACATTGTAACTCGAATCCACAATACAAATACGAATGATGCAATGAGTTTGAAGGAAGCGCGCAAAATCATCGACAGTTGCAAAGAACGATTGAATTTAGTGGTTTTGCGTGATTTGAATGCTCCGACTGTTGCGCCAAACAACAGCATAAACAACAACTCTACATACTCTCATGCAGCCCAAGTGTCAAGCTGCAGTAATCCAGAAGAAACGTTTTACAATGGAAACACAAGTGGTTATTCAACACAGAATCTGTATGTTCAACCACCAACCAGACCAGCTGTTGCCTCACCGCTGTCAACCAATTCCAATGCATCGCCCGATGACAAAAATAACTTGACACCGCGTGGTCGCTCACGTGGTCCAATCGTCGATGGGCCAATGATGCAATTGGACAAACCAAACTCACCGCAAGTGTTACATTCGCGAAATCGTAGTATTAGCGGTGATAATACATCGGAAGATTTCTACAGTTCACGGCGTCAACTGTACCAAGAAGATCCATTGCAACGAACAAAACAACCGAGTGAGCCTCGATTCATTTCATTCCAAAAAGAAGGCAGCGTTGGTATTCGACTGACCGGTGGCAATGAGGCAGGTATATTTGTGACAGCCGTGCAACCGGGTAGCGCTGCATCGATGCAAGGTCTCACGCCAGGCGATAAAATTCTCAAAGTTAACGATATGGATATGGCTGGTGTGACACGCGAAGAAGCCGTTCTATTTTTGCTCAGTTTGCAAGAGCAAATCGATTTGATAGTGCAACACTGCAAAGAAGAATACGATAATGTGGTGTCGAACCAACGGGGCGATTCGTTCCACATTAAAACACATTTCCATTGTGATACACCGGCTAAAGGAGAAATGGCATTCAAGGCGGGCGATGTGTTCCGTGTGGTTGATACGCTACACAATGGCGTTGTTGGGTCATGGCAAGTGTTGCGCATTGGTCGTGGCCACCAAGAGATGCAACGCGGTGTCATTCCAAATAAGTCACGAGCTGAAGAACTGGCAACGGCTCAGTTCAATGCATCAAAGAAAGAAATGAATGCTAGTGAATCGAGAACTAGTTTCTTCCGACGACGGCGATCGTCGTCACATCGTCGATCAAAGTCATTGTCACGCGAGAATTGGGACGATGTTGTCTTCTCGGATTCGATATCCAAATTCCCAGCATATGAAGAACGCGTCGTGTTGAAACATCCAGGTTTCGTGCGGCCAGTCGTTCTATTCGGTCCAGTTAGCGATATCGCACGCGAACGATTGATCAAAGATTTCCCCGATAAGTTCACAGCACCGCTGCAATCGGACGATAAATCGTCATCGGGCAAAAGTGGAATAATTCGATTGTCAAACATTCGAGATATTATGGACCGTGGCAAACACGCTCTGCTCGATATCACTCCAAATGCCGTTGATCGTTTGAATTATGCACAATTCTATCCGATTGTCATTTTCTTGAAGGCCGACACGAAACACACAATCAAACAACTGCGCCAAGGACTACCGAAATCGGCTCACAAGAGCTCCAAGAAGTTATTTGAACAATGTCAAAAACTCGATCGCATTTGGTCACATGTATTTAGCAATACCATTGCTTTAACGGATGCTGACACCTGGTACCGCAAACTACGAGACAGTATCGATCAAATGCAATCTGGAGCAGTGTGGATGTCGAGTGAAAACAAGGTAATGATTTTGTTTTGCATTTTTTTCCATTTCACGAATAAATCCCACTTTAATAATGGATGGTCGGTTGAATTACACAATTAATCTATATCAGTCATGGAAGAAAGTGGTGCTTTCGATGGTGTAGGTTTTGAATGCATTTAAATGTTCAATTCATGGTATTAAATGTTGTCAAAGGTAATAACGACTTGGTAATAGGTGAACAAATAACAAAAACATTTAATTCGGCTATCAGAATTTGATGGACAATTCATTTTGAACCGGGATGGAAAAACATAAATTGGCTTGGGCATTTTGTATCCCACCTTTGTATATACAACACATAAATATATGTTACATGGGTCTTTATTCTCTCTCTTTTCACGACATTCTTCATTGTCGAAATTGTTTTTCAAATCGTTTTCAATTTTGCGATCATTTTCCAAAAACGTGTCTAAATTTTAGATTTGTCAATGAAGATTTGAAATTAAAACGCATTTTTTTGTTTTGTTTTTTTTTTTTCTTCTTTTTTCTCATCAATTGTTCACATTTTCGCAAACCAAAAAACAAAAACATAAAACATTAGCCCAATCAATTCACATCCGATATTTACCTACCCGCAATGATTCCACTGCCAAAATGCAATTGTCGCTCTTGCAAACCCTCACCATATCAAATGCATGCCCATCAAATTTCACTAAATCAATCATGTCGTTATCAATCACGTGCTTTGTCTGCTTCGCCATCGCCACCGCCAATACCGCCTCAACCAAATCATATTCAATACACGCAACAATTGCCTTCATTTGATGCTCCACCTCCACCGCCGCGATGCTATCAATTGGTTCCGATTCGGGACAAAGGCCCAATCTCTGCACAACCAACGCGATTGTATTCATTTGGTAATGTGCCATTAGAACGAACCTCATTGAATCAAAACAATTATGAAAATGTTCAAGAATTACGGAAACAACCGTTTGTGGTGAAAGATCCACGCCGAAAACCATACTATTACAATGAATTGAGCCAGAGTTTGGATACGAATGAACCAATTGAACATTTGGCAATGGCACAAAATGCTCACCAGTTAAATTCGACCAATCAGCCTGAATCAGTTGAACGTGTTTCGTCAAATGACGAAATCATTCGAAACGCTAGTCGCATGTCAAATGTTTATGGATCCGGTGGAAGTTTGGATCATATCTTTTGAAGTGTTGCATTTGTTCACGTTTGAATATCGTTTTGGTATCGCCTACTTAACAACATATTATTTTTTTCATTCGACATTTTACACAGAGCTAAACGTTTAATTATGTACAGAAATGTTTAAAGTGACGTGAGAAAAAAAAGAATTCACGGAAAATTTATAACTATATGAAGTCATCTTCAATTTAAGGTTTAAATAAGAATTGTTGAAATATACTTTTTATGACATTAAAAAAGTAATTATTTCTGATTGCTTAGTCGTGCAGCACGACTCGTGCTAAGGAGACATTGGCGAAATTGTAATTCGTTTGTTTGTATAAAATTAAAATGATGATGATATAGCGATAAATTTTCCGCGAAACATGTTTTTTGTCGTATTTCAAGTAGCTGATAATGAAAATGGCAAATAATTATACTTATTCACAATTCTTAGTTTGTGCTTAAAAGAAGGAAATAAAAGAATCCGTTCGATAATCTGCGATAGATTGTGCCATCTTAATTCTCAGCTGCTCAAATTAATAAAATTTACTTAATATAGAAATTAATATACCAATTCGTTAATCTTTAGAATATGTTAACCAGAGTGTGTTTGTTTTTTTCTTCTTTATTTTCATGCGTATCTGTACCGCTTGTGAAATCATCAAAATCAACACAAAAAAATCTTACTAATTTTCGATCAATATAAACGCATTTCATCTCAAAACCAAAAAAAAAAAAAACAAAAATCATTGTAATCAACAAAACCGGGTGATTTATACACTAAAACAATTATTTTCGAAAAAAAAATTCTGGTATCACCTTTATGCATACTACTGTTTATATTTCCTTCCTGAAAACAAAACAAAACCCTGCACGCTTGCGTGGCGCTGTATTTAAACTGCTCACTATCATAAAACATTCGAAATGAAAAAAAACCCAATTGCCTTCCTCCATTCCTATCATCATTCGAAAAACGAAAACCTATCCCGAAATAGCCTCTTGAGTCCTTGTCCGATGATTTCCTATTCCCAATGAACACATCTCGCTTGTCATATGCATCGAGCCCAGAGTCAGATATTGAAATGAGCTCGGGCCCAACCAATTCCCTGTCAATGGGCAATTTACCGCAATTGGTGAAGGCTAGCTCTGATCCATCGATCGCCACTAATCAGGAAAACTTGGAACGCGACGTTGAGCTGAATAACTTGGGTGATGGATTGATGCCACCTCCGTACACGGTAAGATTCATCTATGCTTTTGTTTTGGATTTTCACTATGCATGCTTAGCCAACGAGACATACTTTTCACGGCTTTTACTGCAGACGCATTGTGCTTGGCCTTTTTCCTAAAATAATTTTGACATTTTCTTACAGAATCCATACGATCACAATTTGCGTCGTTCGACGATCGACAATAAGTTCAATTTCAGCGGAACCGAAGAGTTAACAACGGAAGCAGTCGCAACACATGATAATGCTTTGCTGGCAAACAGTCGCGAATCGACACTTTTGATGGGTAATGCACCAGATCTACCGCCTCGGATTGATCGAGCATCTAAACCACCAAGCAATATGACACCATCATCAACACTCTTGATCACCGCTAGCGCCAGAAATTCAATGGGTTTGAACTCAAGCTCCAGCCGAAATGGTACTTATGGACGATCGGCACATGAACAACTCTTTGGCGATACAAATTCACCGTTGACAACCACATTAGCTGATGTAGCACCGGTTTATGAAGATGAATATAGCACACGAATCAACGCACCGACTGACAAACGTGGCAGCTTAAATGCTAGCTCACTCGATCGCAAACAGGGCAACCAATTATTGGATAAGAGCCATCGATCGTCATCGAATTCAACCACACCAGCAAATGGAAAAACAAATGGATCGTCGTATGACAGTGTCTCGAGTTATGATTCATGCAATGTTGCCATGCAAAATCTTCGATTGGGACCAAATGCTCCTGATGACTTGAAATCTGTGCCAACTGTTGCGTAAGTTTACGACACATTTTCCTTTATTCATTTGTAAATTGGTTTTAGCTTTAGCCTATTGAGATTTATTTGAACGACTCCAATTCCAGAACTCGAAACGTATTGCCATTATCAAACGAGACACCGGTAACTTCTCCACGCCATAGCATTCATCATTCTGATTCAATGAATAGTCGATCACCGCATGACCACACGAGAAATCTGTCAACAACCAACGATCTTAACAAACAAAACAGCCCGGCACGGCAACTTTACAGCGATACACGAAACTTGGGTATGTCTCCAGTGAAATTCGTAAAGTAAATGTATCGTTTACATAAACAAGAATCTTTCAATGGTTTTATAGGTGCCGATCCACGATCGTTGTCAGCCGAAAGACGGCCTGGAAATATTCCATTGCCGCATAGACCGATGAATCTTGGCCTCGATATGGCACCACCAAGGAAATTGCCACAACCGTTGCTCGAAACAAAAACCGATTACGGCAAATACAGGTAAACTGATCGTATACATGCTCAATGGGAAATCCCAGAACTGTTAAGAATCAACTGAAATATCGACATTGGCAATTTGTCACCAATAAATTTGGTAGAAAATCTCTTCCATCTGCTATGCCTAATTCTTTTTCTTTCATTCTGAATCAATTTCGTAATCTTCTCGTATCAATTGAATACCACACTCTAATGTGGTTTGTAATTAGAAAACCATTCACATGTTCAAATCATTCTATTCATTGAACGAAAAAAGACAGTGCAAAACACTTGTGCGGAAGGAAGATTGGTTGCAGATGTTACCGAAGATCGAACCTCGGATAACTTTGTGTCGCCGACATGCACCCATGTATATCTCACTGCAAGTCAAACCGAGCATAAATCGCAAACAATACATTAAATCCTCACAATATGACACACTCGTTTAACTGCCCTCTTTTAATAATTTGAAATTCTGGGAGTTAGTTTCGTAATGATTTTCCCCCGCAAAAAATAACTTAAATCCTTCAATCGATTTATTCTTTTTATTTCAATTTTATTTATCATTATTTTACGTTATTTCGATGCCCTTGTTTTTTTGTTCACACACTAAACCCAACAACACTCGCACCATTCAAACACATCGCCACAGCCGGAATCACTCAATATCGCAGGCTGACTATGATCGAACACCAAAATCGCCATTACAACACCACCACTCGTCGGCGCAGAATGGAAATATGCCATTCAAACCGGTGCCACCGCCGAAACCGAAAAACTATCGTCCAATGATTCCAAGCAATGGAAACGCAACTAACGGAAATATGCCACCAAATCAATGGGACGCAACGGTTCGTATTATTTTCTATTTTCAAATTTTCAAGGGAACATTTCAACAGTACCTACTTTTTTAAGTTCTTTCTACACTGTATTGATTTCAACACTGTATTCAATTGTTCTCAATGCATTAAAGCAGTCATCTTCACATTTTTTTAAAATTAAATTATGTTCTTTTTACTCATTTCAGGAGGGCTCACGTAATCAGAATGGATACTATTATCCCCCAACCCAATCTCATTACCATCAACAATCGCAACAGCCACATTTGCCCCAGCCTCCAATGCAACCAAATCATGGACCACCAATTCATGCATATAACCATAGCTCATATCCATATGGCAGTATGTCAAGGTAATTTTTATTGAAACAATCATTCTGAACATTCATTTCAACTGATGAACCATTTGTCTATACTTTGCTACAGTGCAAACGGAAACGGTCACTATGCCAGTCAACCAATGCAACAACCACAATCACCTTACATGGGTGTTAATAATTTGCCAGGCAGCGGATACAATAAAGGACAATATAACGCTGGCCACATGCAGCGTGCACCAATTTATGATGGTATAATTTTTCAAAATAGGAATTTCCTAGAAAATGACAATGAAAAACGAAAATTATTAAAAGATTAGAAAAATAAAGAATAAGAAGTTTGTAGCAGATTGGTTTCACATTTTCTTTTCGTCTTTCGATCGCAGGAAATATGCAACCGCCATCACATCAATCACTGGATTTGGCTGGAAGTCGTGAGCAGCGAGGTTCAGCATTCGAATTGTACAGAAAACCTCAGCTGGGAAATATGCCAATGCACCATCACAATGTTCGGTAAGCACTCCCGATTCATATCAAAAACAAAATTGGTTTCATAATCATATTGGTAATTTTATTCTCAAACGGAGCGTTTAAGGAGCATTCTCAAACGTTGACGAACGTCGATTGGAAATCTAATACCCAATATTAATACAATTTTGCAACGCAGCAATAAGAACTTCATTTCCTTGCATGCTTTAAATTAATCCTTAAAAATTGAATTGAATTTGGTCATTTCTGAGCGGAAAAGAGGAAATAAGCGCTAACTAACTTATATTCACAGTCGTTTTTCCATTTTATCGAATAATTCGGATGCTCTTGCGCACAACACTCATTTAGTTTGCTTATTCTTCTCTACTAACCAATAAACACGTTGAAACATTCGTTATTCATAGATGAGTTCGAAGAATTTTGAAGCGATTTGTATGACTTTGTGATAAAAGTTTGCATATCATTTGGAATTCAAGCATAGGAGATTTAACACTTTTTTTTAAAGAGTACCAGGTGGAGGCTTTTAATACATATTAACACTGTTACACATTTGAAAAGGTTAAGAAAGCCAATAAGAAAGAGATGTAAGGAGAATCATCACAACATTTTTGAGCTGGTTTAAGTTTCAATCATAGCCATTTGCGAGTATTAAAGCATATAACAGTATTCCATCAAGATCAATTTTCCAACAATATTCAAAATTTCAAATAAAAAAACTAATTTCATAATAATCAACATAAAACATTGCTTTGGTAAAGCATTGAATGCTGTTATATGAACAAAGGTAGTCGAAAGTAGTTTCAACAAAAGTATTCTGGCTCCCGTCCATTCCAATGGTGGTGTCAAACTCCAAGAGTTGTAAATATGAATAAGAATGCTTTGATTGGGGAGTTTAATTTTAGATCTAATTTTACTCTAACTTTGGTGGTTGTGGATGTTGAATTGCAATGAATGAGTGTGCGTGTGCTTGATCAACAATGAATTAAATCTTTTCAATAATTTTCACAAACAGTTTTCCATCTCAATCAAAAAAAGAAGATAGTTCACTTTGATTCCGCATTTTCCATATCTCGGTAAAAAAAAACACAATCTCATCGAAATGTCCAAATGTTCAATTGGTCATTAATTCATATTTCCCAAAGAAACTTCATTTAAAATTGAATCAACAATTTTTTTTAATGCAAATTCTTCTTTGCCAGCACCAACCAGATAAATAGAAACTTTTTGCACGTATTCACACTTCACTTTAATCCAGACCCAAATGCTGACTACTTAAAATAGGTTTTTTTTTTTCAATAAATGAATTGCAATATCTGTCTGAAAAATTCAATATTCAAATTCTAAAAAAAACAACAACACAAATTCTAAATTGAATCAAAAAAACACATTTCCAAAATAGTGAATGGCAGCACGAGCAGCAGCAACCTTATCCGCCGCAACAGTATCAATATCCGTATGGCCGGTATCCGATGGAAGATGGCTACGGCCCACCAAAATTGCCACCGAAATCATTCAAAAAGAAATACATTAAGGCACCATTGGCAGCGATCAAAAATGCTCTGCTGAAATCAAAGAAGCAGCTACAGCGTCAGGGTAGCATGAGTGAGCGTGATAGTAGCCCGAAAATGGGATCAGGTTTGAGACGTCAACACTCAATGATCGAACAAAGAACGTCTGGTAGATGGAGAACACCATCTGAATTTGAATATCAACAACAGCAACCGTATTATGATCAGAGACAACGTGCCTATGACGATCAGTATTACGATGAACGTAGAAGTTATATGAATCATTCACAGTTGTATGGTGACGATTATGAAAATAAGCAGGGAAATTATTACGAACAGGAAAATTTGTACGCCAATCGAGCATTGATTGAATTCGAAAGAAAAGCGTCGGAAAATCGAATGCCATATTCAACCAATACTGGAACACGGATTGTGCGTCGTCACAGTATGGCTGACCGAACATCACGTGCCAATGCACGTTATCCGGTACAACGGCCAGGTCAACCGTCATTAGATTCACCGGATGATCGAATTGAACGCGAAGAGATTTATCAAACTCGCAGTGGTGCGTTCATGATGCAGCAGACGAACCTACCGTCAAATAATCGAGGTCAGCCGATGAACGCAGCGGTACGTATGCAGCAACAGACGCGTGACGATGATGCAATCTATCAACATCGTCGTGAAATGCATTTGGATCATTTGTATCAAAGCAAACGTGAAATGCAACAACGCATTCACCAAGGTCGGGTTGAAGTCGAACGAACCGCCCACTCTGAATCGCCCTCATCATCGTCCACGGCAACAACACCAGTCCATTCAGATCATATGTCGTCTCCATCTAGAGATGTGATTTATCAAAGCCGACGCGAACTGAAGGAGAAGGGCTTTAAGACCAGAACACAATTACGAGATCGAATTTATCAGTCACGGCAAGAGGCTATGGAATCAATGGCTGAACCGGTCTATTCAAAACGGGTCGAAATTCAACGACATCAAGAACCAATCATTTATGAGGGCAGGGAAAGTGAGCACATGGATCGAACTCCCGAAGAAATCGATCGATCTGTTCAATCGCTGCCACAAAATAATTCCATGAACGTAACACCAAAAGATCCGCACATTCAACGCGTTGCAAATGCGTTAATTGCACCAATGATTGCAAATCAAAATAGCTGCAATTCAAGTGGATTAGATGATGACGACACGGTGAACAGTTCAAATCAGTCCAGTTTACAGAAAACTGTCATATCTCCCGAATCGATGCAATCGGAAGAGAAAACCATTCAAGATGATTCGAAACCGACCGAGAAAGATGTTGAAAGTCAACCAGCGAAACCGTTCGTTCCACGTGCCGACCCAACTCACATTTCGAATGTGATGAGACGAGTCGCACCCATGGCAAAAGATCCTCAAGCGTCAACTAGTGACGGCGTATCATCACACGAAAATGTTTTAGCTAGTCGAACATCGATTGAAACACAGTACACATCATCTCAAATCAGTCTACCGACTGGTCCACCAGTAGCACAGAGCACACCGTATGCCAGTGCCGTAGTATTGGAAAATGACACATTTTATCCACCGATTCGTGAACAATCCACCACGCACGGCATTTTCGACGAAAACGGTGGCACACTTTGTGATGACGTTTGGAATGTGTCGATCGATATACCAAAGGGCGCCATTCCACCAGGCGTTAAACAAGAAATCTATTTCACAGTCACTGATCCACGAATGAGCCAATCTGTCGGTGGACCTCCGCTTGACATGGAAAATGGTTGGTGTTTACATTCAATTACGTAGTTTCCTATTTTAACTTCTTTTTTTTTATCTTATTTGATGACCTTTGTTGTTTGTTTTTGTTCGTAAAAACTGTTTTTGATTTTTGCCTGCTTTCTGTTTGTGTACAAATGCTATGTTTGCACATATGTCACGTGAAAAAATTATTCACAATATTGGAAAATGCACTTCTAGCCAAAGAGCCATCCACGAATTTCACCATTCATCGTTGTACAAATTTTCGATTGTTATTTTGATGGCTTGCGTCATTTGTCTTTTTATATAACCTTTTCAGTTGTGCTTGGGTGTGATTTTGATTATAATTGAGTGTTTGAAAGTGATTGGTAGTTTTATTGTTGGTTTTTATTTCATTTTTGCATGCCTCTATGGATCGGAATTTTCTTGGAGCTTGGTTTATTATTATTTTTCTTTCAACTGTTTGCATGTCATTTTATTTTTTGAAATTTATAAGTAATGGGCATTTTTCGCGTTTATTCCTTTTTTTTACATACGTATACTTTTCTACAGAGTGAAAAACACACTTATCTATACTTGATGCTTGTGTTCACAAATATTATTATGTATGCGCCTTATTCTCGTACTTTTAATAAGATATTCAATTTAAACAGTAGTTTGATGATTTCACACTTATTAATGTTTTTAATCGAAAAATGCCAAATTTTCCATCTTATTTTTAGTATGTGCAACGAAATTAATTTACACAAATAGCTGCACTATATTGTCAATGTTTTGAACATGATGAAAAGAGCAAATTTTAGACTAATATCTGTTTTTTTTCCTTTCAACGAATCAAGGTGAGACAATGCTTTCGCCGTTAGTCATGTGTGGACCTCAGGCTCTAGAATTCCTCGTACCAGTCACATTGAATATACCACATTATGCAAGCAAAACAGCATCGCTTGGTCTTTCACTTAAAGCAACGGACAGCGAAAAAAATTTACAAACCAATTGGGACAACATTGAATTGCCAAGCAATACAGCCGCACATACTGTATCCGTAAAAGTCGACCACTTTTAACCACTTCAACATACTATTGTGTTTATATATCAAACATTTAATTCAAATTTTGATTAATTTCCACAATTTACATATTTATCAAAAATGTTCGCGGAAATTTACATAATCGATTTTCCTATGTATTTTGTTTTCATCCATTTACTATATATTGTAATTACACAGAGAGTTTTTTTTCTCGTAAGATTATAAGCAAACGAATTCGAACAAACACATCTATCCAATGTATCATTTAAATTTTTTTCCGTCTTTCAAACTGTGTATTATTGTTTAAGTTTTAGCGCATATTTGGAAAAGTATTAGACGATAAATGGCTAAAGAATATTTAACTGAGAAGCGAACAAAAAATATATCGAAATGTTGATATATATAGGAGTATACGAAGAAAAGGAAATATTAATCGAAATAACTAAAATGTCAGCATTGTATGTATCCTCGAATTGTTTTAATCAATATTCCATATTAGGAATAAGTGTGCCCAAGAATATACTATCTAATAAAAAAAACATGAAATTTCATTCACAAAATACGTGCAATTACACTGTAGTAACAAAAAAATGAACGAAGATTTCCAATATTCGAAATATATATTATCAAAACGAAATATGTGGTTCAACTACATTTGTCCCCTACTAAAATCTGAAATTCATGTGTAAAATCGTTGATTTCAAAAGCTGTAAATGTTACCATAAATATATTGCCGGAATACCAAAAGGCAGCCAATGACATCTCTAAACCAACTTATTGAATCATCGAATATTTCGAGTAACTTTTACCAATCGTGTGTGGCTTAAGTTGAATATTATCAACTTAACGGCGACACTAGCAGCTTATCTGAAAACACATCGTAGAAGAGAGTACAAAAATCATAGTTATTTGGCAAATGCATCGAGTAACCATTCCGAAACATCAATACGTTTTGGCTAACGCGTAGTAACGGCTCACAGAGAAGCTGTTAGCGTCGCCGTAAAGTTGATTTTATTCAACTCAAGCCATACACGTTTGAAAAAAGTTGCCAAAAATACAATGATTCAATGAGTTGGAATTGAGATGGCATTGACTGCTATGTGTCAAATGACTTACATTTGAAATGTATTGTGGCGCTTTCCCTATGAATGTTACTACAGTGTTATTGTTAGTTGGAATTCAGATTTAGGAGGAAAATGATAAAGTCTTGAAATGTGTATATATCCAGTATACGCATGGATATGATGGTCTTCAACATTTTAAGGTAAGTTCCTCTTCGAATTTTAGTATTATTCGGAGAATTAATTTCGAACGATTCAAAGTATTTTTCAATGTAACTTTAAGAGCCACTTGCCTATCGACTAAAATACCTTGAATATATTTTAGTACATGAAATGAGGTGGCCACAATCTTTAATGCATACTCAATCACTTGAAATCTATTGGTATAATAAAAAGAATTACATTCGTAATCCCGTACTTTTCCGTATTGTCCGTACTTTTTTCCATATTTTGGAAACAAAAGGCATACTCCTAGTGAAAAATCGGTCATTTTTGACGAAATTTTGACAATTTCTTTTCATACAGGTACCTATAAGTTGATTCTGATTGGCCTCAAATTGTCTGAGATAAAATTTCTTGACAAAAAATAAGATTCTGATAGTTTGAAGTCAATCCGAATAAATTAAGAGGTACCTCCAATACAAAAAAAAAATTCGAGGAAAATTCGACAAAAATTGTGGACGTAGATACGTTCATAGATTTTAAGTAAAAATTCATCTTTATTGACGGTAAAGTTGCGTCAAATATGGCTTGTTCAACGCGTAACTTGATCATCTATTGATTAGAAAAATAATATTTGCGGAAACTCGACAGAGACTCTTCGTCAATGCTCGATCGCGCATTGATGTTATTGCATATGACGTTACCAACGTTAAAAATGCCATTATCGGAGCTGACAAGAGCTTGTTCTGTGTGCGCTATATTCAAAAGCCGACGAACGTATTCAGAATATTCATTGCGGACGAATATACAAGAATTCAAAGGTAAACAATTTCTGACGAGGTGAAGCAATTGGTGATACAACGCCTACAACCTTTGACAACAATGACGGTTTTAGTGTTTGTAGCTATTGATTGCCACTTTTTACGGAGCTCAGCTCATCTTCGACTTTTTTCATTGCATTTTTCAACAAACTGCAATTTTTACATTGAACAGCATCCGCAGTATTGCTCTAGCTTCGACATGATATATAAAATATCATTTATTAATTGTTATACCGAGTAAAATCAATAAGGTGTTTCTCTTTTCACGATATAGCAATGTAATCATACAAACAACAACATCAATCTTGGCCAATAACCACAAAAGCTGTCACAGTATTTTATCCGGTAATTCTTTGCTTGTATATCTCTTTTGTTTTGTTTCCAACAAAATAATATAATATAAATATTCCATTCGTTGATTAAATATTATTCGTTGTTACCAAACAATCAAATATTCAAGAAGAAAAATAGATTCAGAACAGTTGTTTTGTGAATTATCAAATGATTTAATAAAGAACAACAAGAAACCGCTGGCATTTTTATCAACAGATATTTTTTTTGAAACAGGCGAAAAAATCTGGCTTCGATGCTGCATAAGGTAATGTATATATTTACAGAAAAAAATCAAGAGAGTGAATTGAAACAAAAGTCCAAACATGTAAATGAGACGCTGAAAAATTCAATTGATTGATTCATCATATTAGTATTGACCGATGGTACTGACTTTGTTCTCTCCACTCTTTCAACTGGACAATCGAATTGAATGCGAATTTTCATCTCACTTTGAGTAAGTGTGTGTCGTTGCATAGTGTGCGTGTCGGCTTGTTTCACTAACGCTATCAGCACGCCGTGATGTACGTTTGTCATTACACCGACGGGTAAATCATTTTCATGTGTATTGGAACCGACGCAAATCACTTGATTTGATGTTGCGACTATTGTAAGTGTGCAATTTTTTTGGAGCCGACGTGCAGAAGCGTCGCTCTTTTCGTCACGTTCCATATTCTGCTTTTGATCACATCGCACAGCATACGAGCATTGAGTGCTGGATTGAACCAGAAACATTTGCTTGAAACGACAGTAGGTTTTTGTGATTATTTTAGTTGACTAGAATCATTGAAATAAAACATTTTTTTTTTAAATTCATCCGTGGGCATTGTGTTAGTCGCAGAAAAAATTCCGAGTAATTTCGAATAGTAGTTTCGTAGCCATTGCGTTTCCAAAGAAAAAACGCATATTTCGAATAGAATATCGAATCATTCGCTAGTATGCCATTATTTTTTAGCGAAAAAAAAAATTCAATCGAAATTTCCCATTCATGCTTAGTCGTTCGGAGATGACATTACATTTTAAGCGCGGTTTTGTCCAGACGCTATCATACTTCGTTTTGAAACCAAGAGAAATTCTCCGTTACCTCTTTTCATAATCTGGAATTTAGCGCCAATCCAGTTTTGAATAGTGGTTTTTGATAGAATTCAAATCCGAATGTTGCAAAAATTCACAAACAGATTGCGTTTTGCATCCAATTTCAATATGACACTAAACTAACAGCATTTCCATTTAATTTTCGTTCCAGAAAGGTCCAAAGAAAATTTCGGTCCAGGAAAATGGCACGCACCGCAAAGAAGGCCGATAAAAAAGAAGCGAAGGCTGAGAAAAGCATTGTCAAACAGTCGAAAAAGTCCAAGAAGTCCAAAGAATCGAAACCAGATGCGAAGAAGCCAAAGAAAAGGACTCAAAGCTATGGTCCATTCTTGTACAGAGTGTTGAAGCAAGTGCATGAAAGTACGGACATTAGCAATGAGGCAATGGACATTTTGAACGACTTCATGAACGATATTTTTGAACGGATTGCAAATGAGGCATCGGTTCTAACGCATCGCAACAAAAGCAAAACGTTAGGCTCACGCGATATCATGACGGCCGTTAAGCTTCTGTTCGCCGGTGAATTGGCCCGCCACGCATTGGCTGAAGCAAACCAGGCACTTGCCAGATACAAACAAAGCTACGGTGCAGTTGACAAGAAAACGAAGGGAAAAAAAGTGAAAAACAATGAAGAAAACGACGAAGAAGATGATGAAGAAGAAAATGAAGAAAACGACGAAGAAGATGATGAAAGTGAAGACGAATGAATAGGAGGAAATGTTTGAATAAAGAATTGATGATTTTATAGGAATTGTATCAATTTTATGAAAATTAGCTATCGCGTTGATCGTATTTGTAGAAAAATGTGTAAATTATTCCGTTGCTTTAATTCCGAAAAAATATTTTTATAAAAATGAGTACAAAAGAAGAAAAAAGAAAAAAATAAATAAATAGACAAATTCATCGTTGTCTTTGCTTTCGGCTTGAATTCATTTTTCAAAACTTAGCGCCAAATTCATCAGATAATTGTCGATTATAGAGGTTATGTTATTGACATGAACACAACAGGTGACAGCACACAAGAGTGTGTTTGTTTTTCATTTCCAAACCAAAGTTCATGTGAACGGATCGAATTGCATGAGAATAAGCTGAAAATGGGTACACCAATAAAATTTTATTACGATTTTCTTTCGCAACCATCAAGAGCGCTGTATATATTCCTGAAACTGACGAAGATCCCTTTCGAAGAAAACCCGATTGCTTTGAGAAAAGGTAAAACTGTCACACAGACTAAATCTCTGATTAGATCAACTCATCTTTCCATTTGAATTTTAAGGTGTACACATGACTGATGAGTTTCGAGACAAAGTGAATCGTTTCAAGAAAGTGCCGGCAATTGTTGACAATGGATTTCAGTTGTCGGAGAGTGTAGCCATCTTCCGCTATTTGGCCAGTCGGAACAAAATCGACGACCAATGGTATCCAAAAAATGACCAAGTGCGTGCCCGTATCGATGAATATTTGGAATGGCAACATTATCACACACGTCAAACGTGCGCACAATATTTCATACTGAGCTACATGAAACCACGTACAGTCGGGCCCTCTGCTGGAGATGCACAAATTGTTGCATCGGCCGAGACTCAGATGACTCAAACATTGGATATGATTGAGAATTTATGGCTCCGACCGGGTTGCTTCATTTCCGGCACAAATCAACTATCATTTGCCGACATTCTGGCCGCTTGTGAAATCGAACAACCAAGTAAGATTGAAATCGCCGTGAAAACGGAATGGAATCAAGTGTCGGTTTATAATTAAGCTTTTTTTTCTCTATTTTCTGTGCAGCTATTACAGGCTATGATCCAACGGAGAATCGCCCGAATTTGGGTGAATGGATAAAGCTGGTGAAAGAGCTAACCAATCCAGTCTATGATGAGGCACATGAAATTTTGTATCGGCTTAGAGAACAAGAACGGGCAAAACTTTAGGTGCAATCGTCAAATCATAGACAAAATGAGAATTCATGAATGTGGAATTTTGGGTACAAATATTATGATGTCAAGAGTTACATAGTGTTCAATAAAAACTAGGTTGCATGAGTTTAGGTAATTGATTCTCGGACGTTTTTCTTTCGTTATTTACGAAAAAAATTGATTTCAATTCAGCTAGTGCTATATAAAATAAATATTTTGTCAAATGTCAAAATACCCGCCAAATGCTCGTGTGACAATTTACTGTATGATTGACTTAGATTAGAAAAAGTTCCTTTCAATTTTGTTAGTAGAATCATCCTGAATTAGTCGATAGACTTAAAATAATCATTTTCCATGAAAAAAAAAATTCAAATTCAATCATGTTAGTCGGTTGCAATTGTTGTCACAAAAAAGTCGCTGAATTTTAGTCGTTTCATTTGTACATGAGCTCATGTCATCTGTCAAAATAGCTGAATATACCGGAATGCATAGGGAGGTATGAATTGAGTGTGTATGTATAAGCCGCATACCGTTTGCTCTGTTATCGCATGAAAAAATCACAAATAAAATTTTAATTTAACGGAAATTCTTCTGACCTTCTTCTGGCCTAAGATGAAATATTCCCACTTGAAATTGGTCGAAAATTTCGGTTGAACATTTCACTCCTCCCGCTCTGACTATTTTTTGGAGCGAAACCAACACACGCACACACATGCATGCCTTTTGTGTCATCCACACAGGACCAATACAAAGCATTGTGTATCGCCGAAGTATTTTCAAACCTCGTGAAACTCAGTATTGTTTGAATCGGCGTTGAAAAAAAAGTAATTTACACACAAAAGACAATTATTGGAAAAATTGACAAAATACTGAAGTGTTGTATTAAACAAAATTATGAAATATACGATTGAGCAACTGAGTTATGTTGTGCCTGCGATTTCGATTGGATTTCTTTTCATTATAACCTCAATAAATGTTTATTTCAAAATAAGGTAAAATTCTTCTCAATGAAAATGTCCATTTTGTATTATTTTTAATAGAAAAAAAACCTTTGGTTTAGTTTAGCAAAGAAATAGTGTTGTGTAGTTTGAAATAGCATACTTTTTATAAAAATTCGGTGTATTTTAACAGGCGACGATTTCCAGCTACAGTAAATTGTTGGTTCTGCAATGAGAATAGCAAAGTGCCCTACGATGACTTAAACAAATGGACGTGTCCGAAATGTGAGCAATACAATGGTTTCTCTGAGGTTTGTTACACATTCTAATCTAGTACACAGTCAACAATTGCGCCGACTTTTGTTCAAAATTCAAATTTTTCCCACATCGTTTTGCTCTTTGAAGGACGGTGACTACAACTGTGATATTCCAGCGCAACGAAGTGTAAAACTGAACAAATGGAAGACGTCAAGTTTTTCATCGATGAACGGATCAATTAGCGGTCGATTAACGCCAATGAATGGGCTGTGTGAACCATGCAATCGAAATCAAGAGCTAAAAGTGCAGCAACTGGCCAGTTTCGAGCCGGAGAATGAGGCCTATTTCGACGAGGAAATCGAAGAGTATCGGTAAGATTTCGACTGCATTCGAATTGATAGGCAGTGTCAAACTAATCAAAAACGTCTCTAAACCATCAACAGAGTCAAATTGGAGCAGGCGTATCGTTTGTGCCCACGCTGTGAACGTCACTTGAAGCGCTCACTGAACAAAGTGAAAACGAATATTCTGGGTTCTAAACTAAGACAAATCGGTACCAAAGGGTTGCAGGCATTCAACTTGAGTTTGAATCAAAAAGCCAATAAAGTCATTGTATATAGAAAGCAATTAACATTTGCACGGATCTCACTTGGCGCTCTGATTGTCATCTCATTGCTGCAATTGTTCACCACAACTAATCAAATAAACATCACCAAGCCAAAGCTTGATTCCGTTTTTAACGCTGCCACAACTACCTCAATTCTAACCGTTTTTTCATACATTTCGGCCGTAAAAATCTTGATTTTGCAATCGATTCAATACATACTTGCTTTGCCATACATATCACTGGCGGTAACATGCGTACAAATGCTCGTGAAGTACGTGTATACTTACGTCAATGGTGACATTTGGAAGCTAATCAAAACAGAATTCTTGGAATTGGCCGACTCAAGTGTGAGCGGAGATGAGTTAAATCCCGAATTTTCAACACTCACAACGAACGTTTCGGGTTGCTTCCTTTCAATATTTTTGCTGTTTTTATTCGGATTGGGTTGGGGCCCTGTTTTGTCACTGTTACTGTGGAGTTTTAGCATGGTCTTACCAACCATCACAGTTGACGAAACGGATTTGGGACAAGCTCTTGTTTTGGATTTTGTTCAGGTATTTCAAATTTTGCGGATTTTATTAAACCAATTTTAGTTCTTCATCATCATTGAGATAAATATTCATGAATTATTTGATTCATTTGCAGCTAATTTTGGTGTGGTCATCAGTGCTGTTATCGTTGGTTAATTGCTTCACACTGCCAACTAGGCCGATTCAATCGAACACTGACAAAAACTCTAGTTTCCATCGAATTGACTCCGAGATGAACTCAGACGTTTCGGATGACAGCGAAGCAGAGAGTGAGTTAAATTCATCGTTGCGTTCGAATATGTCATCGGCGAGTAAGCGTTCACTGTGGAACGAGACAAGAGTACTCAATTCCACCATTGCATCCAAAGCACCATCACATTACTCAACGAATTCGATGCGTCAGCGATCGTATGGCATTTCATCACAGTCAATCGCTTCAACAAAACCCGCATCGCCTGAAATGAATACATCATTTGGTTCGGAACGTTTCTACAAAGGAAGCCAATTTGATTTGACTAGAGACAAATTCAACGGATCGCAAAGATCATTAATGGCTGCACAATCACAATCGGACATATTCGGCAGGCAACAATGCACCAGTGCCATTTCATTCCATGCGTTGAACAAAACATTTACCAACGTCGACCCAAGCGTGAGATCATCATCGCGTAACTCATTTTACGACATACCGAATGACTTTGAAAGTGGCATAACACAGTTAAGCATCAGTGGTGCGAAGCATTCACAAGCAAAGAACCATTCTCGAGTATTTGGTTCAACGGATTTGTTGAGCGATGCGTTGCGCCATCGTAAATCAGTACTATCACCATCTCGGTTGAGCTTAAACGAAGCCCATCATCCGGTCAATCAATCATCTTGGCTCGCTGGCGGTTATTGGAATAGCACATCGCCTCAGAAAAAATCCACCGCACCGCCACCATCTAGTTTATATGGATTCGATACATGCACGATGCCAAAGGAAGCTTTTCCCGCAATTTCCAGAGCCTCGTCAAAGAGTTCAGGGTTTGAGTCACGTGAGAATTCATTGTGTGACGACACAGAAGTTGAGCGAACATTTTTGTTTCCCGAACCAACATCGCTGGCAACCAAAGCCAACAATGGTCTTATCAAACCAAAACCACACAAACCGATGAGCCTTGTCAACCGATTCAGCGGAGACCATTCACGACAATCAGCATCGTGCATACCAGCACCGACTCCAGATGTGTTCACCAATAATTCCATCGGAGAAATAGAAAATTCATTGCCCAACTTCTCCATGCTGTCACGTTCATTTGGTCGATTTACATTGCAACAGCCGGCACAGCAGCAGCCATTGCCGCAACCATCACATTTTCAACACCATAACAACGTTTTAAAGTCAGATCAATCGATCACATCAACTTTAAATCAATTTGCTAGACATAACAGAGACTTGCCAATGCGAACATTTCAACGTGGTAGTTTGATAAAATTACACGATCAAATGTCAATGGACCACTAACACAATCGACTTCAATCGATTTAAGATCGTGATTTTTTTTTTATTCAACCAATTTACCGAGAATGAAAATGTTCAATTGTTCATGCAACTATGCGTACTGCCGAATACTGTTCTTAGCATTTAAGTTATTTACACTCACATTAGGTTTTTAACGGATTTTTTTCTCTCTCCTTAACCAATTGTGTATATTTGAACTAATTTCTGTTCTGCAAATTAAGAAATGTAAATAAAATTGTTTGGATTTTGAAACTTTTTGATACAATAGACGACCGATTGGTTTGAATTGTGTTCCAAAAAAGCGCTCCTCTTGCAAACGCCAAAGAAAAGGAAAAAGAATCATGAAGAAAACAGTGTTGAAACGGGCCGTATACGTATATGAGTCGTATTCATTTTATAGGACGAATAAGGTAAGTGATGACAATTGCTTATCGATAATCGATTCAAGCACTTTCTTACGTTGTAGAAGGTTAATGACTCACATTTTTGCTATCACAATTTAGGATGAACTGAAACCGGAAGTCGGAATTTAATTTCAATTTTCTATTCATATGCATATTATCGCCCCTTCAAATACATACATGATAGCTGCCATTCATCATGTGAAAGGGAATCGCATAGAGAAAATAGTTTGAATGCTTCTTTTCGTGTACACTGTCGGGGTTGTGGTTTGTATTTCTGTTTTGGTCGCATATTAATGATAACATTCGTGATTTATACTAATACTAAGATGAAAGAACGAGGCGTAAATTCTTGCAGCTTTTTATACCATTGTGCTTTCAAGCAGTAGTGCAGAAGGTACGTACTCAAATACACTGTACTCCAGTACTATTGATTGGTAAATAATCATGGTGGCTCCATATTATTGCAAAAAGCACCAATGGTATAACGCCTTCACACGTTTCTTATGTGACATTCCTGTAGAGATCAAAGTAGTCATTGATCGTAGTAAACATTGAAATTGTTAAAAGTATAAAAGGAAAGGTATTTAAAAAATATATTCTGTACATTCAGTTTACTCACTTACTTCTTACAATTCAAACACATTCCAAAAATGGAACGATCGAATAAGATAGAGTCCTACAATTCCATATGGTGATACTGGTTCCATAGAATTGATAAAGGAAAATATAACATTATCTCAAGACGTCATAAGTTCGTTATCGAAGAGTTTCATTGCCGGTTTTTGTTATTGCTCAGAAAAACCTATTATTCCACACAATATTCAATTTGCAGCGTAGTTTTTTGTACATTTGGTGCTTTGCAACAGAAAGATCACAGATATAGATCATATAAAATGCAATACGGATGGACAAACATATGATTGAATAGAAAAATATTGCGCCTACACCAACCATTTCATTGATAAATTCAAATTCATATCGCGTCTTACCAAAGTCCAAAATGAATGTATTCCACGGAGACGAGATCCATATGAATGGAATAAAAAAGTGCATGGCTTGTATGAATTATCACACAAAACATGAACCATTCATATCAAATTGATGTATGACGCAAATTACGTTTCCGGTGAGTCACAGGTTTCGGGTGGCTATATATAATGAAAAGAGCGATTGGGAATATTAAACACTTCTTTCTGCCCTGAACTGAGTAAAATGTGCACGTATATGAAAGTGATTCTTTTGTTGTTGTCGTTGACAAGTTTTGCGTGTGGCCGCGAAATTCCAACCGACGGTATTTGCTATGAATTTGAGAAGTAATTTAAATTTTAATAAATAAAGTATTCAATTTTTGTTTTTATATAAATCTAAAATTAATTTGAAGGATGGATTCGATAACTTTACCAAGGCAAAGATGTTGCCATGGCTTTCAATTTGTAAATGGCAAATGTGTAAAAATCGACAGTAATCCGATATGTCAATGTCCACCCGGCCATCAATCAGATTTGGACTCGTTATATTGCAATTGTGAACCGATTTGTGACACAATCTGTGAAAATGGAAGATGCATAGCATCGAACCAGTGCGAATGTAATGAAGGCTATGCAGTGGACAAGGATTATGGTGGTGAATGTAGACCAATTTGTATGCCAAGTTGTGTAAAGGGAGGATGTGCAGCCCCAAACAAATGCATATGCTTTGATGGTTACAAACTTAAGCTTGGTTCGCAACTTGTGTGTATTCCAGAGCATCTGCCCGATGCATGTGATGATGGATACATTTATGCCGATGGCATATGCAAGCCGGTTTGTGCTCCAAACTGTGTAAATGGAAAATGTACGGCTCCCAATCAGTGTGCATGCAATGAAGGTTACAAATTTAGCCGTGAGTCCAAACAAAGATGCATTTCAGTTGGTCCGATCGAATGTGAATCGGGTCAACAGCTTGTAAACGGCGAGTGTACGTCAGTTTGTTACCCACCTTGTAAAAATGGAAAGTGTTTTAAAAACAATCAATGCATTTGCAATGAAGGATACAGATCAATGTATGGAATGGATCGATGTGTTCTAGACAATGATCCTATTTGTGAACCGGATTGTGTGCGTGGCAAATGCATTGGACGAAACATATGCCAATGTGATAATGGCTATACGTTGCATCCATATCTGAATATTTGCGTACCTTCTTGTACTCTTACTGACTATTGTGAGAACGGTACATGCGTTCCTCCAGGGGTGTGCACATGCAATGAAGGATTTCAATTCAGCGATATGAATCCAAACACTTGTGAGCCAACTCAAACAAATTATCCACAGTGAGTATGGTTGGACAAATATTTAAAGATAGAGCTTTTGATTCACAAATAACTAACAATCAACTTAATATTCAACTTACAGGTCAAATTGGTCGAAGGTATATGTTAAATCTTTATTGCATAACCGAACTGTTAGAGTTTCTTTTCAAACGTGGAAACACTAGTGAAATTCAACAGATATTTTGCATTAAGAGCAATTGATATAAAATAAAGATTCATGTCATATCAATATGAAAATATAAACAAGAAGATTGCCAAAATTTTGGTCATAATTTTTCAGGTGATAAAATGGATCGCCTCTAAGCTACCATGAATATTTCGATTACATCCTTTTGGCCCAGATTTTAATTACTAAAAATTTATTTAGAAACAAATTAATTTTACAAAATGATGGAACCAGAAGAAAATAATAAAGTTGTTTCGTTTTTTTTATACTTACTGATTTATTATACTGACTTATCTGACTTATACTTTTGCGTCATCGTTTTTATAGTCGGATGTAGTACTTCCTGTAGATAAAATAATGTTTGGATGAAACTGTAAGTAAGGATAGTAGATGTTTGTTCAGTTGCTTTTTTTGTAATGTTGGAGAGAGATAAAAAAATCGGACTAAAGGAAAAGACCTCTTCGAAATAAAAAAAAACTCCACTCGTCTATAACATCCAAGTAGACTCTCTCAACAAAATCTCCAGGGAAAAAAATCTCACAAAGGGAATATGAGTAACAACATCGACATTTTTACAGAGTTTTTCTAGTTATTTTTTATCGATTTTTTTGAATGATGAACATATCAATTGATACTCGATTTTTGTCATGTATTAATTGACATGGACAAACAGCCTCTGATGAAAATCGACCTTACGGCTGTAGCCTGAAAATTTGAACCGAAAGATTTGATTTAACTAAGATTGATCCAAATCAAATGAAAAAACAACTCTCATATATATAAATTTGATTGAAACAATTTATCGATTAATCAGTTCCTCTGTAGTATTTATCTTCATTCTAATCAGCAGATTAAAAAATCAATGGTCAAACTTGAGCAATCAATTTTTTTTTGTATCAAATTGAACTTATCTTTAGAATATTAAAAAGAATATTTATTAATCGCTTGCATATTTATTTCCTTTGAACATGCAAATATTCAATTATTTCATCTTAAAAATTATAAGTATTCAACAATTTTATCTTGATCATTTATTCCTTTTATCATTTAGTCATCGATTGATTTGCTCAGTGTGGTCTTTGTCTAATCTATATAATTGGTTCTATGTTCGGCCATTCATGTGCTATTTTGCAAGTTTTATTTTCGGCTTTTTAGCACATTCTACTGCTCTATTTATATAATGAATGCTAATTTTTCTAGACAAAACCAGTGTGTGAATATGAAAAGTGTTTCAATAATAATCTAATAAAATGTTTTCACATTCAGAAGGATTCGGGCGAATCATAGGGCACAACATGTACAATCGTGGACTTCTTGCGATGATAGATAAATTCCAAGATAAAAATGATGGTTGCAGCAAATAATCCTACACTCCACAAAAAGAACGCTCCACTAACGTGATCCAAGCTCAAGCTGATCAATCCTGTCTTTTCACGATGTCTCGATACGGAGATACCCAATTGAATCTTTGAATTTGCATGATTTGCCACCGACTAAAAAAATTTTCTCATTTATTTAAGACTTCTTCCAAAATGAAAGGTCAATTCTGTGCTAATTACCTGCAATTCCCAATATTTTTGGATGCCACTTTCGGCCACGTGCAACACAAGCAAATCATAAACCGATTTCATTGGCCACGTTTTATAAAACATTGAAACACAGTATTCAAAGTACAAATCATTGTACATCAACTGCAAATAGTTCAAAGCCTCTTCGTTGATGTATTCGCCAGCAGCATAATGCCCTTTACAACACAGTACAAAATTAATTGAATAAATGCGGGAAAATAAGGTGCACACGACTTACCATAGGGCAAACGTTCTACGCTATAACAAAAATCTCTCGTCGTTCGGCGAGCAGCTAAGGCTTCAAATGGAATCGCTTGAAATTTGCTTACCAATTTTTTCAGGTCGGGCTATTTGGACAATACGCAAAAAAATATAGGGATTTAATACCCACTTCAACAATACCTGAAATTAACACTGTAAACCTGTGTTGCATCAAGGATAGAGAAAATCCAGGCATCATGTGTTGCACCCCTTTATTTAAAAAAACTTGAATATTTTTGCCAATCTTTTATTCTCTTGAAAAGTATATCCCACTATTTACCATTCCAGATTCCGTTCAGCCAATTGATGTGGCGTATCGATTGGTGCTTCAAATCTTTAAATCGTTGAAAAATCGTTATTATTGTTATAGAAAGTCAGAAGCTGAGTTAATATGTACCGAGGGACCGTCATAATGCTTGAAAGACCGCCACCGTATGCATTTGCAACCAACAGACTTGTTAGCAGGGCTAATGTGCCAATGATCATTTCAGGTAAATGCCTAGTACTATCAATGAAAATGCACATTTTAATCCGTCTGGTGTTTGATAATAATAAAATTGATGAAGAAACTAGATACCTATATTTGGTAGGTTGCAGCAAAAATGTGGCCCATATTTGAAGGCAAGTTGATACAATGTCGTCTTCACGAATAGATTTTGCACTTTTCATTGCAATCCGAATCAAAACCATTGCAACGAAAATGCCCACAAAGCTTATAAGCTCAGCCGTCCACATTGTCGCCGTGAAGGGTTCCCATGGCAATAGCCAACCAGAAAGAAGCCTGAAATAATAAAAAATGATGAACTTTTGATTTTAATCACCATTTGAATCGGTCCAACCGTGGTTTTGGACAAATGCAAGTAATCCCACTTCGTGTCATCGCAGCGGAAAAATCCAAAAATTGAAACTCATGAAGCCTACAATGATGAATTTCATGTTCAACGATTTTCAGCGAAATAAAAATATCGATAAATTCTTTCAATTACCAAGAATAAAGCGCAGAAAAACCTATATCGGCACGTTGTTCAACCACAGCGCCCAATACACCATCTCCAGTCATATTATCCCATATATTACCCCATTCCCCATCTTCGTCTAAAAATTAGGCAAAATTCGATTCATTTCTTCATCAAAAAATAAGTGTCCGTTTCATATAAGAACCAAGTGAAACCGCCAAAGTGCAATTGTATAGCTCGCAAAATGTTATGGCCATAAGTGTTTCGGTTCCATCAATTAGTAACGTTTTATCCTCATCCGCATCAATAGCATTGGCATTGCCTTCGCCAGGTGGCTAAAAACAAGTTAAATAGGGACATCAAAGCTAAGTCTACGTCATCTAATTGTGAATGTGTTTCAGAGTTTTTCTTTTCAATTTCTTACGACTTCCTCCCAAAAGGCATACGGATTATAGTTGAATAAAGCGATACGAATTTGTCGACCTTGTAAATTGGGAAACTTTTCAGGAAATAGATATGCATTTTCAGAAAAATGTCCAGTGGTCGTATCAAATGTGTCCAAAAACCGTGGATCGGTGTTGTTATATCGTCCCACAAACTGGGATGTTATCAATTCAAACAATTCACCATTGATATTTAGTTGGTTTTGATTAATACTTTCGCGAGTTGACGGCGATATTATCAAAATATTCGGAATATCTACAGCAGAATAAAATGAGCGTAAATCAAATATTTTATCATCATTAAAATCGAAAGGCTTCTGTTAATCGTTTTCAAATGGTATAATTTCACCTTGAACTGTAGGATGATTCAAAATTCGATCAATATATCCTCGTGTTTTATCGATGGTTGTGGGCAAAGCAACAACGTGCATCAAATGATATCGATTTTTTGCGGTAAATCTCACATTTTCAAACGAGTTGATGAAGTCAATTGCTGTGTTCGGAGTTGTAATGAACGCCTTCAAAAGGGTTAATTACTTGATTATTTTAATCAACGAAAACGTACGCTTGAACTCATTTCGTATTCTCTATTACCTGACAATCATTATCAATGCCCATTCGTACTAAATCATCGATATTTGTTTGATTTTCACTGAACGCTTCATATTTCAACCACATCATTTGCGGATAATCATCGTCCGCGTGATTCCAATTCAAATTAATGCTGACAATTTCACTGACATCCAATGTGTTCCACACGACACAGATACAGTACAATTGAGCCAAATATGTCACAACTGAAATCAAAAAGAATGTAAACTAATCATTATTACACTTGTTAATCTGTATTCAGTCGCACCAACGTGTGTCAATAGTTGTTCAATTGATTCACTTTCATTCGAGATTATTGTTTTCATTTTTATTATTTTTCAATTTCTCGATTCTATACTTGCTACGTGATCAGGTTTACCGGTTTGAAGTCAACTGAAGGAAAAACGCCCGTGAGTGGCTTTAAATACGACAGCTTTGATGCTCTAACGATGATGTTTGTAATTGTAATCAATCACACTACTTCTTTTAGATGTTTACACGCATTTTCAAATGTAAATCCTTAATCCAATTGCCGAAGAAGGTAATTTGAATTATGATTTCATGTTCCATAATAGAAAACATTTTTGACTCCTTGCATTTCAACGGTATAATTTATTCAAATCATATATTGATCCATTTAAAATTTCTTCATATTCCTCTTGATCGTAAAAAAAAGCCATTTCATTAACCAATGAACTAATTCAAAGACATTGTTCTTCGTATTTACACAAATTGTGTTTAGACTTCGGTCAAAACACATTGCAAACATATTTAACTATAATCATTCCAACGTTTCCGTTTCATTTTTTGTTCTTCTATGCATGGTTGTTTGTTTTTTATATTTACTAAATTAATTTGATGTGCACTCGATTCTGAAAAGTATTGACTGATCCATGTGTTTTAAATTGCCATAATTTCTCCATGATAGTCATTAGTTGAATAGTTCCGTTTGAAAATTTCCTTTGACCTTCTGTTGAAGTTCATTCCAAACATTCTATTGGTCGAAGTAAAATTACACGAGAAAATAAACTAAATGATGGTTTCTTTAAACTACGTCAAACGCGGAATTTTAATAGTCGCTAGAAGCAACACACATGTTCAATGAGTTAATTAAGCATACTTTGGTCCTTTGATTGAAAAACCTTGGCTTTTACCTTGGTGCAAAAATTGTAATTTTGTTTGTTAATTGCTCATCGTGCCCAGAAAATAATGAACTTAGTGCCCAGTAGAGCAGTTAAGCTCAGAAGAAAAGCTACAAAACCAAGTGGAAATGGTTCAATGTTATCAGTTATCGTTTGCTCGTTCATTGTGATTGTTCCATGAACAAAAGCCTAATCCAAAATGGGTTCAAAAGATAAAAAATGGTCTTGGCCAAAAAAGGGTATTTCTAGTTTTGTCAAGGAAATCGACGATATGTCACCAAAGGCAAAAGCTTTGTTGGTTGTCAAAGCCTGTCGTTTGATGTGTGATTCGATTGGTGTTCGATTTCTGAGCGATTGTAGAGTGTTTTGGTTATCATATATGCCTGGTCTTATGGTGCTGTTATACTTGATCCTGGCCACTTATACCGTCATCTACTACACTTATCACAATGACTTTCTGCGTGGCATAAAAGCAACTTGTGTAGTTGGCGTTGCCGTTCCGGTAAGTAGATAAATTACGGATAAACACTAAGCAAATATGGAAAAATGCTGAACAATATAGCATAGTCACGAAAAGAATGATTTCATATTTCACATCGATTTAAAAGAAAAAAACAAATCAAACCAATTTTCAAGTCTAATAATTTTCTATACAGGAAGTTCTTTTGTACTTTGAAACCATAAACTCCAATCGATTCCGATACCGTAAGTAATATCTTACTCCATGGAATGAAAGAAACCTCAACCGTTTTGATTGATTGAAAATCTTGCCCCTGTACTTCGATACAAGTTCAAGTAAAATTTGATTATAACGTATTGCTAAATGAAGATGTGTACTAAGTGGTATGCTCTGTATTTTTTTATTTGTATCTATTTGCTGTCTTCAAATTATATCTGAGACATTAATATTCGAATATAAGAAGAAAAAAAAATTGTTAATCACAGTTACGGAATTTTTTTCTACATTTTAGGTAGCGTCATTTGTTTTGCCACCGATCATATCTATCCGGATTATAAGGACAGCAGCAAATTGAATCAATTGTGTGACAATTATGGAAGAAAATCGATAAAATTGGCTATCATTTTTATGAATTTTATTTGTCTTTCGACCGCACAGGCCATGATCGGGTCAATGCTAGAGTTCATGAAAACCGGCCATTTGGTCAGTTTTTTAGCCATTAAGCTGCCATTCATCGACGAAGACCTAGTATGGGGCTTTCATTTGAACTTGATGATTCAAACGACAATTACGACATTCGGAACGATTGGAGGGCTTTCCATCGAAACGACGTCATGCGTGATTAATAACACAATCATGTTATGCGCAGACATTATTAATTTGGATTGTTCGGAACTCACGAACCAATTGGAAAACGGTGGAGTGTCGAAAGTAAAGATGTTAACCAAATTACGCAATATTTTCATGAAATATGAAGACTTGGATCAGTACTTAGTAGATATGACGGATTTGAATTATTGGCGAATGTTTTCAGCCCCCATATTGATCGTTTATTCGGTTTCTATATCAACCTTTTGCCAATATGCCCTTCGATTTCCCTGTGGTTACGGCTTTGCGATTTTAACCTATTCTCAACTGTTGATAATGTGCTACATGGGAAACAATATTTTTGACTCTCAATATCGTGTCGTGAATTCTTTAAGCTCTCTGCCATGGTATCTTTTGCCCGCTGACCGTCAAAAAGATATTGCATATATGTTGAATAGAGCCCAAAATGGTGCCGTACTTTAATTATTTTAATTACTGCATGATTAATATAAAGATTGATTTGTATATTCAAACCAGGTGCTGTACTCACTATTGGTCCATTGGATAGTACATTGAATTATGAAACGGCAACAAATGTAAATGAAAACCTTTAATCGAATTCAAAGTTCACATTCTTTTCTTTATTTTCCAGCTAACATCAACAATCTATCGAATTTTGATGCTTTGCATGAAGTTCATTGAAGGATAATATGGCTGACTCAGTAGAATGAAAGAAATCCCAACCGTTTTGAGTGATTAAAAATCTTGTTTTATTTCTTTACTCCTGCATTTCCATACAAGTTCAAGTAAAATTTGATAATGTATCGTTAAATAAAAGTGTGCGATAATTGGCTTGTCCTGCAAAGTTTTTTTTTTTTGTTTGTTTTCAAATTACATCTAGAATATTAAGAGAAAGAAAAAAAAATTACGAAAAACCAGTGTTACAATTCTATCACAGCTAGGGAAATTTTTTTCTACATTTTAGGAAAACTTAATCTCGTTAACGTTAAACTACAAAAAGGAGTTAAATCAGAGTTGAATCTTGAATCTACACCGCTTAGATTTCCTTTTCTGAGTTTTGTGTGATGTTCCAGAGAAGAAACACTAAGAAAAACCATCGGGTAGAGACAGAGACAGAGAAAGAAACGAAAAACTTGAAGAGCTCCAAGTAGAATGGGTGGACACAAGGAAATCTACAATTTGTCTAATAAGAAGTTACTTTTTTTTTAGAAAAATAAATTAACGATTTTAGTTTAGTCAATGAATTTGGTAATCATTTAGTTGAGGTTGGTGGTTTGCATTAAAATTAAACCGAATTTACTTAAATACAATTTTGTCTTTTCAATTGATGTCATCATACACGTTCGTTGGTGCTTGTGTGCGGCACATGCAATCAATCTCGGTCGGCGATTTTAAACTTCTTTTTTTTCTCTTTAAATGCGACTTAATTTTTAATTAGTTGCATGATTAATATAAAGATTTATTTGTGTATTCAAACCACGACAACAATTTTGTGTATGGATTCGATTGTCGATGTGTGTATGTGTCTGTGCACGAATCGGTTAAATGGTTTGCTTTGATTCGGAGAGTTTGTGTTTTTGAGGTGTTTGTGCTGTGCTGAACAATTGTTTGTTCACGGTCAAAGGTTCATCAGTGATTTCGAACAATTGAACAATGCAGTTTAAAAGGATGACGGCGCTCCATAATTCATTCAGACACGTTTGGTGGGTCCGGTGTCGATGTTTGAACGCATTAGAAAGCAGGTGGAAGCGGTTGAGGACGGCGTTTGAACGGCGGAAGACGTCGATGGAGATCCAGTTGGGTTAATTGTCTCGTTTGGCATGAGCATTTGATGCGAATATGGTGATGACGATTGTTCGTGAAGCTTTTGTGCGGTTGACGTCATGCTTAGGTCATTAACTATCTCGTTTTTTATTACGATCGGAGATGAAACCAGCGACGAAGATGATGATGATGGAGATGATGCCAACACATCTTTCTGTTGCTGCTGTTGTTGTTGTTGTTGTTGTTGTTGTTGTTGTTGTTGTTGTTGTTG